TAAATGTAGACAAAAAATTAATGAGCTCACGAATATTGCCTATAACTAGGGTGTGGGTGTGGGTGGGTGTGAGTGTGAGTGTGGGTGTAGGTGTGGGTGTGAGTGTGGGTGTAGGTGTGGGTGTGGGGTGTGGGTGGGTGAGGATGGGTGTGGGTGGATGTTGGTATGGGTGAGTGTAAGGTGTGGGTGTGGTTGAAGATATCCATATAGTCACACCCCACACCCTAATCTCTTTTCTTGGAGAGTGTGGATACTGCTGTCTTAGTGCGGTTTATGTAGATTTTCGTTGAGTATTAGTGTGTGGGTATCGGTTTGATTGGATGAATTTATGGCAAAAAGTATCACACAGACGCGTATGGTATTGTTTAGAACGACACTGATGCAGATATAAATATCCACACTCACACGCAACCTTGTTCAAACCATGGATACTAGGTTTTTTAGCGCTGTAGAGCAGTATATAATACCAAAACAGTCAAATATTCAGTCGAGGGTCAAGCAAGTCACACAGACGAGCGTTACTTGTTTTTTAAGCTGAAATAAAATTGTAGTTTTGGTTTTTCATATTAAATATCATATCTATGAAAACAGTAAAATGAGGAAGTAATGTACACGTGTCAAGAGATATCACATGTGTTTCATCTTGAATTTGGTTTACAATCGACTAGTTCGCATTTCTTTTATAAGACGTGCAACTTTTACTTTCTTCATGGGTGCTTCTCTTACTGCTTTTATTTCGAAAGCAATAAATGGTAAGATCGAGACTTTATTTTCATCAGGAAATTTACTTAACGATTAAAACTAAAGACTTGATCGAGGATTACAGAAACGCTATAAATGCAAATAACCGATGGATGATTGATGACATCTTCGAATCTGAAAAACAATTCAGAGGTTTCACGATTTTTCGACGTCAAAAGAAACTGCCACAAATTATAGTGGGTGTCTGCTGATTATATATGAAAAATGAATGATTGATATGAACAGAGGTATAAGTATATGGACCAAAATCTTTGGATATTTCATTGTCTCAATAAGCTAATCGAGTGTTTACAAAACGAAAGTTTGAACCTGGTTTAATTAAATTAGTATTTAATCATGAACATAAACCTGTAGCGACTGTGTAAATTATTGTTAGCGATCATGGATTGTTTTCATCGACGGAGGATAGTAGTAGGTCTTTCACACAAGTTCGAGTTGAGTCAACAGTGAAATCATTATTATCTATATAGTTTTGACTAATTTCTTTGACAACAATTTCTTTAGCAGTATTTCAGAGATACAAGATGTCGTATGCTCATAATTTTCATGTAAAATTCGATAAGCAGTTCAGTACGAATCAGAACTTCAATCAGTGATACTTTGAGCTTGTTGACCACAATATAATTTCCTGTGGTATTTGATAGTGGTCGAAAAGTATTCGGAAAATCTTCTTACACATTGTATCAGAGTTTATTTCTTGAGAATTTTTTCTGCATTATTCAAAACTCTTCCACTTGCATGGTAACGCAGCCATCATCCAATAATATCTGAATGACAATGCCGTGTTGCTATATATAAAAAAGTGTTCCTTGATCCTCTAATGGAGTAGCGATCAACGAAATAATCAAATATTTCTTGAAAAATACTCAAATCATTTTAACAACATGCATTTTACAAAAATTCTTTGGTCTCTGCATCAAGCATTGCAGAGTATAATAATTCAGTTTTTTCCTGATTTTCTTGAAGAAAATATGTTTTTTATTTCTTTCCTCCTTTTTATAACAGCTTCACATGACTGTTGTTGATTACATTCGGACGCTTTGCTTTTTTTGACAATGACCATTTTTTTTATTGCTGAAGTTTGTAACAGTATATAATCTCAACAATCGTTCATGAATAACATGATTAGTCCATACTTGTTTTTCAACGTTAAGGAAATAGAGTTATAATAACTTCAATTGTGAAATGTTTTTCATACTAGCTTAAGACCATCTCGTTGTTACATTTAATGGGATTCTTAATGATTCTTATTCTTTAAGATTTGCTGCTCATAGGTTATAGAACTCCGGGAAATAGCTGTCTGCGTTTTTCGGAGAATTATTATTATTATTTTTCACACAAAAAAATACGTTGATATTAGTAAATAGAGAAAAGACAAATAAAAGGCAGACGATAATAATATTGTTCAGACGAATTAAAAAGAACACAAAAAATTTTTCAGCACGTTTATGTCTTGTTTCTGACTTTTGTATATCTAAAGAAGTATACTGGGATCTTATAGAAGAACATAAAATATTTTCAATGATAAATTTGAAGGCGGATAAGAAAAAATGCTTTTTTTAGATAAACAACTCATATCTAGTGATGTGGCGAAAGACTCATCTGTATCAGAGGCACTTTGAATAGTTGTTAATGATAGAAAATATACAAATCAGCTAATTATAACTTGTACTACGATTTCGTCCCATCAGGCAAACATGAACAATGTCATAATCTATTTAGACACCATGTTCAATATTTAAATGATTTCAACAAACTATTTCCTAATATCGTCATGTCGTTTGATAACATCTTATTTATGTACTGACAGATTCAGATCAATTCATTAAAATAGTTGAGCATCGGCTACGAAAATGAATTCAAATCTTTGTTATAGATATCTGCACTTTATTGAGAGTATTTGATGAGGCTCAATTTTTCTATAAGTTTAACCATCGAAAAGGTAAAGAAAAGTTCATTCTAGTAATATTTTCACATGAACAATGAACATACTAGTTACAATTGTTGAAGTGCAACATGTTACTGATTTATATTCAATGCATCAATTTAATCAAATATCTTTTAAATCAAAAATCGTGTAAGCCTTAAATATTCGACAACGCATGTGTTTAAGACTCTTGTTATTTATGTCTCGAAAACCATTTTATGCATTCACTGAATCACCACTCAGTATGATGGAGAACAAAAAATTCTTTTCAAAATAATTCTTATTTTTTCTCTATTTTGCTGAAGAATAAAACCTTGCCTGCAGACAAGTATACCGTTTGCCAGGTATGCAAACATACTCCAAAATTCATCAGGAAAAGGGTTTCTCTCTTTTTCATAGAATGGAAAAAAAATCGAGACTATAAAAAAACGAGTTGAAAGTGACAAATAAGTCATTTTCGAATCTGTGTTGGTACCAACAAAATAAAAAGCATGTATTTTGACTGTTAGTTTTTGTTTTAAAGTATCTGCACTACATTAGCAATTCTCGTTCGAAATATGCATCGTTTTACTGATATAGAATCAACTCCCAAACGACTTACACCAGTCTACGGCTACTTAACGCATCAGTTAGTACCTTTACAAAAAGCTCTTGAACCAATCTCGTCTCAGATTGATCAACTAGATCGTTTTAGTAAAATAGCTAAAAACGAATGTCACTTTCCTTCTGAACATGGACTTACTCGAGATGAATCAGCTGCTATTTTTCTCTACACAATGGAATGGGGTGAGAGTAGTTTATATCAAGTAATTAATCGTACTCTTCGTGCCGAAGATCGATCAACATTGAAACCATGGTTTGGTTACCTCAAATTATTTGATGCAGCTGTACAAAAGCTACCCACTGTTCAAAAAAATATATGGCGTGGTGCTGCAAGAAATATAGCGCAGAACTATAAAGCAGGTGATGAGTTCACTTGGTGGACCATCAGTTCATGTTCAACTACCGTTAACATTATCAAAGATTTTCTTGGATCCAACTCAACATTATTCTTGATTGAAGCTGTGAATGGAAAAGATATTTCCAAGTATACAAATTACCCAAGTGAAAATGAAGTTATTCTTTGTCCAGGTACTCGACTTCGTGTAGTCAGTGATCCTCTTGATCAGCCACCCATGCATGTAGTTCATTTACAAGAAGTTACTGACGAAACCGAAGATCAACTCACAACAACGTTCCATGCCATGGAAGTGACATCTTCTTCAAAAACTGAGTCAATCTCTAAAGCGAAAACTGTTCAGTCTTCACAAATTCAAATTGTTACTGATCAATGGGGTAATAGATATGAAGGAGAATTGAGGGAGGGAAAAAAGCATGGCAAAGGAAAAATGGATTATGCAGACGGTAACAAGTACATAGGCGACTGGGCCAATGACGTAAGAACAGGTCAAGGTGTTTTTATTTGGTCTGATGGTAGTCACTACGAGGGACAATCTAAAGATAACAATATGCACGGCAAAGGTACATTTGTTTGGGGACCTGATTCACAATGGGCAGGTCTGAAATACATCGGCGATTATATCGATAACAAAAGAACAGGACAAGGGGTTTACATTTGGCCTAATGGCAATCGTTACGAGGGACAATTTAAAGATAACAATCGACACGGCAAGGGTACATTTATTTGGGCACCTGATGCTAAAGGAACTTACGACAAGTACACAGGCGATTGGGTTGATGACATAAGAGCAGATCAAGGTGTCCATGTTTTTGCTAACGGTGATCGTTACGAGGGGCAATTCAAAGATGGGAAACAACATGGTAGGGGCAAATTGACGTATGCTAATGGCAAAATTCAAGAAGGAATGTGGTCGAACGGCACTTTTGTTGACTGAACGAACTGATTTGGCATTTATAGTATCTGATTGATGACTGAGTTTCTGCTTTGAATTGTTCGATAAGTGCTTTGTGTTTTGTTTCTCTTACGATAAAATTGCTCATACTTTAAGAATGGGAACATGTCGTTACTTTATTGAAGGATTGTTTGCAGATTTTCTCCTTATTCCTCATTTACTCAAAGAAAATAGAAAATGATATTTTTGTGAGATTTTCAGAGTTTTAGTTGATTTTAATATCGAAAGATAGTTGATTTGTTGAAAAAATAAATGCCAATGAAAATCTTTAGAAGTGATCTGCAATGATCCACGAAAGAAATTCATCATATCATGATGCTACAACATATCATGACATCATGAGAATCGACGTATTATGTATAGAGCATTGCAACATGAATCACTTCTGAATTGTATTGCATTCTACCATTACGTACCAGAATTTTAGGGTTTTCTTGTACATGTTAATCGATTGAGCTGAAATTTCGAGTCAAATAGAAGTTTTGCCGTAGTGATGATTTGACGTTTTCTACTAAAATTGTACTAAAAATTGAACAATAGCTACTTGAAATCGAAATCCCATAAATACCTCGTAACTATTTCAAGTCAGTCTCTATTATGTACCATGTTAAAACCCCTTAGATGATACTATGGTTGTAGAAATCATTCCTCGAGACAGATCTAATCTACTAGCGAATGTAGATAGAAACTAAATTTCATAGGTGCTCGATCAATATAAAACTTGATGAAACAAGTAATTACACTAAAATAAATATCATTGTAGTCAACAAAAGAAAGCTATGCTATTCTGAAATATGATACACCGCTAAAGATTATTTCGTACATAAAGAATCAGCATCAAGCTCTTAACTGGTTTGAAATAAGCTCTCATATTCATCCTTCATGAAATAATAAAATTCAACTGCAAATAGCTACAAAAAGGAATTATAAATAGTCGGATTCCTAAACGAAAACTTGTACAACAAATGAAATGAGAAAGTATTATTAGTAAAACTAATACTGAGATAAATCATCAACCGATTTTGCTTTTAATTCTGTGTATATAAACTTGTAGACATCGTGGCATATGATTAGAACTAACTGGTAGTTCTGAATATTGAAATAAAAACAGTCAAGCTCGTTAGTATATTTATTCATTAAAATTTCTATAACTGTCAACTTTCTGAAAATGTAGTTTTGTCCTACTAGAAAGCTACAGAGAAAATATAGAATTAGGTTTGAGTAAAATACTGGAGAACTAGAAGTATATATGAATAAGAAATCATCCATAGATGTGAGCAGTTGAATTCAATATAGGTAATGTTTTGATTAGCGTAAACCTTCTATGAAATGTCTACAATACCGTATGTCCCTCGCAAATAGGAATTAATGTTCAGATGTTCATGAAATCGATATGTGTTATCGACGAATTTGAATTTCTATATTGCTGTTAAATTAAAAATTAATCGACATTAGTGATGTTAGTCACTCTAACATGGACAGAAGAAAATCATTCATTCAAGTTATTATGAAAGACCAAAGCATTGGATTAATTTACTTTTAGATAAATCAATTGAGTAGACGGCTAATATAGAAATTCTAGAAGTCGTGAAGGAGAAGCAGTAGTCTTGCATTGAGTAAATATACTTCTACTCCATTCTGAATAAAAATATTTTTCTAATTATTTTCTTCAATAATTTTTTTTAGTGTAAATTCTCCTGCAAAAACTATCACCAATCTTCACAAGATACAAACACGTTTTTTTTTAATCTACAATTCAAAGTATAAACAGTCTGTTGTAGGAATACAGTCATCTATTTCTGATATTTCAAATGTTCAACATAAAATATGTTTGCTTCTTATTTTTAATTACTTCCTTGATTATCTAGTCTCAATACACCATATTATGAACGTCTTTGCTTATATTGGCTTTTTTTTGTCTGTCATAAAAAATTTTGCTATTATAGATCATGATCTAATATTATCGAACTTTTCTTGTTTTGAATTATGAGTTATTCAAAATGATCATTTGTGTTTAGTTTTTAATAAATAAAAAAAAGTTACATATAAATATTTTTAATATTAGAATGAATTATATTGATACATTTAAGAATCTTGAGAAAAAGCATATATACTAAGGTACTGTTTTATCCAAGTGAATGTCGGTCGCTTATGTTTACTGCAAAAGAAAATTTTTAATAAACAATATATAATCAAAAAGAAAATAATGAAGATTATGATTCCTTACTCATATTCCCAACATTTGAGCATTAAATCATAAATAGGATTTGGACAATTAGATGGTTGTTTCAAACGATTGTCATTACGTAAAAATCTGAGTAATTTTTGTGATATAGACTCAAATAGCATACCTTGCATTGCTTCAAGTTCCTGATCATCCATAAAAACAAAATTGATTTTTTTTATAAATAAATTCATATTACTTGTTTATAAGGTGTTTGACCATAGGATGTAGCTTCCCAAACAGTAATACCAAATGACCAAATATCAACTTGAGAATGAAATAAAGGTGTTTCGAGAACTTCAGGTGGATACCATATTGATGGTAATCGGCGATTTTGTCCAATCTAGAACACAAAATCAAGTAAATATTATTTTATTTTAATAATTTAAAGAAGCCTAATTTACTTGATAGTATCTATTGTCTCCAAGAACACGTGATAAACCAAAATCTGATATTTTACAAACAGTTTTCGACATAATCAGTATATTTCTTAATGCTAAATCTCTATGAATTATATTTTTTTCATGTAAATAATTCATTCCATCACTAACTTGATACATATAATTAAGAATATAACTTATTCGAAATGTTCTACAAAGAAAAACAAAAACAAAAACAAACGAAATTCTTATATTTAAACATATATTTTTTTTCATAATAAAAAATATTACTTATTTAATCTTAGCCAACGATTCATTGCACCATATGGACATAATTCAAGTACAAGTGATATTGTTATTTCATGTTTACATATACCAAATATTTTAACAATATAAGGATGATCTAAACTCAACATACGTTTGCCTTCATTGTATAATTCTTGAATAAATGAATTTTGTGTTTGTCGTAATTGTTTTATTGCAACGTGTTGTAAGGTATATTTTGTTATACCATTATTATTTTCATCATTTCCAATCAATTTACCATGATACACTTCACCAAATTGACCTTCACCTAAATAAATATAAATTATTATTTATTTCCATAATTAGTTTCTACAAAAACAAGAAAAATCGACTTATGTAAAAAACAATGAAAAATATTCATGCATAGATTAACATAAAACATTAGACAGGTCGTATACTTGTAGAAATACTTTCATATATATAATTAATCAAAGAAAGAGAATACTTTTTCTGTCTACTGACTTTTATAATTGAGTGAAAATATCATATTTGTTAATAGAATGTATAGGAAGCATTTATTCGGATGTTTTAAAAATAACTTTTTTTTGCGTACCAAGTTTATCGCCCAAAATCAGATATTTTTCGTCGATAAAAGCATTTTCTATTAATGATGAATCATGATTATTATCACAGTCAAATGTTGATGCTGAATTCGCAACATTGAAATCAAATGATGAAGTATTATTTGGATCATTTAACATCGGTAATGTTGGAGAGCTTAAATCTGTGCTACTACTTTCAGATTCTGTATTTCGATCAACTAAAAATAGAAATTTCATAAGTAAATATTTTAAATAAAAGTAGGTTAAACAACCGTCTAATAAGGTTCGATAAGGAACGATTCGTATCGATCCTAAACAAAAAAAGGGAAAATTAATTCTTGAAGAAAATTAGTTTAATTTATTTACCACCAGGACGATTACATGGATATTGAAGAGTACAAGCAAGATCTTGATGATTTCGATGATAAAAATCAACTAGCTATATTTATATATTGCCAGCAACATTACTATTTCCTAGTTTAGACATACCTGAGCAAGACTACCAAATTGATTAATACATCTCGATTTATGACTTGATGCTACTTGTAAACAGTCATTTGGCGTCTTCTGAATAATATAATGATGATATTCTTGTTGAAAACATAAACTTAATGAATAACCAGCACGAGATCGTTTATCACCTAGTTTTTCACGTACACTAAATATTAGATGAAAGTAAAAGATACATACATAATTAAATATCTACAGAAATAGGCCATTTTTTCTACCGGCGTTTTCAAGACGAACTTCTGCTTCCTGTCGACCAATGCAAGAATGAAACCATAACTCACTTTCATGTAATGTTCTTAAATTCAAAAAAAAAAGAAAAATAATTAAATTATACATTAATACAAACACATAAACTGTTAATAAAAATACTTTAATACTCGTCGTTCATAAATATATCTTTTAGATGTTAATTTATCTTTAATTGGTATCTAGAAATAATCTAATTTTTTAATAATACAATTTCTTTTATCTCTTTTACTTCATCATCAGTATTTGAAGCTGCTTGAAAAATTTTATTCATATATAATTCTGGAGTCAGCAATGGTACACACCAGAATTGTATAAAATTGTAATTCTTATCAAAGAAAAAATAGAAAACATATAATTCAAAAAATATAGTAATCAAAGAATATCTTACAAATGGTCGTTGACATGGAATAGATAATGTTGTAACAAGTTGTTCAGCATGTTTTTGAAAATGATTAATTAATTCCATTGGTCCAGGAAATTCTATTTGTTCAGAATTTCGTGTTGATCGACCATGACCATTAGATTGAATATCATTATTTGAAAAAGTAAATTTTTCTTGAGCACGTGAGCCATTAAGAATAACATTATCATTTAAAAGTCGATCAATTCGATAATGATAAAATCTTTTGATAGAAAAAAATCGATGAAATATGCTCTTTATGTTTTGTTTTAACTTTTTATTTTATTACCGTTTGAAAAAACATAATGTTATGGCATAACTACCAGCTTCTTCAAATTTTTCTCGTATAAGATAAAGACCATTTTTTAAGCCTGATTGATCAAGAATTTCTTCAGCATCTTGTCGCGTTATTCGTCCCCAATAAAAGGGAGCATCAAACAGATCCATATTGACAAATATTTGTTTCCGTCTTATATTTAATTATGTAGCGAGTGCATTTTTTCTAACTTGTCAAATTAGACACGAAACTAACTAGTAACGTATTTGTATACTCTTTTTTTTTTTCTTTTCAATTAATAAAAACAGAACAATATATCGTCAATAGAACACGTTATATGCATTTTTTCGGATGATTGGGTAGACAAACACAAAGAGAGAAAAAACAAATCATATGTTATATTTGTATCGACAGCAAAAAAAAATGAAGTAATATTTCTTTTTTCGCCTTTATTGCAAGTTTTGACGTCATTATTGATAGTTATGATGAATTTATCTTGATTTTCCTATCTAAAAAAACATGAGTAACTTTTTTTTTCGAGATTTCTTGTATCGCTTCAATTGAAATAGTTATTGCAAGATTTCTTTGTTTTTTTTATGTATGTAAAAAAATTATTTTTGTAGAAAATAACAAAAAAATCTAATTACAAGGAATAGTGCATATATTTATAAATATAAACTAATTAGTACAATCATGAAATAATGAATGATTTATTTATTATGTCGTTAATGGATAGTTATTACTGAACGTCTCTGAAAATATTTTTGTATATTGATTTTGAATGATTAGATTTTTTTCATTTTTTACATAAAATATTTATCATTGGAAGACAAGTTCGGAACACACTTGAAGTATCATCAATCAAATAAAAACATGATGAATATAGCTTCTTTTTGCTTTTGTTTGTGTATTGTATATAACTATTCATTCCTGTCAAACATTTTCTAAGCCTCTTCATACATTGTATCAGTCATTCAAACAAACATTATAACCATAATATCTCGAGAGAAGGTTTTAAATAGATACATGATGACAAAAAAAAAGATTCATACAATATCGTAGTCATTCATATATGTGATAGATTAATAATAGGCGTGGTCTACGTGATCTTAGTAGAAAGAAAATTGTGTTAGTTATATGATTACACTAATCAAATATTTTTACAAATATAATCATAATTTTCCCATTGGCAATTGTTTTTTGTTTTTCTCAGCATAAAATTTTCTTTAGTAGATTATTTATATATTCTGGTGTATATTTAATATTATGAATGATATGCACACAAAGTGAGTACAAAGAATCAAATGAATAAACGTACCACCAAGAACAAAAAAAAAAGAAATCTCGTAATTTCAAATTTTCTAATTGAACGTTTCAATAACTCTTGCAAATGACATTTTTCAATGTACAAACGAAAAGGAAAAATAGAATGAAAAGAAAATTTTCAATAACAATAATAACAAATAAAGAGGACAAAAAAAGAAAGAAAGAATCTGCAAATTTCGCATTCTCTTTCTATAAACTAAATGATAACAAACAAATTATTGATAACGTCTAATCAACAAAAAAAAAAAAAAGAGAAAAGCAGGAGTAAAAAAAAAAGAAAACAAACTGTAGACAAAAAAAAAAGCTAAGTTCGATTCTTTTAAAAATAAGACAATAAACAGGAAAAAAGAAATAAAAAACAGGAATGTCTTTGAGTTATAAAGAAAAACAGAAAGAAAAGAACATTTTATTATCATCACTAGCCATAACCACATACAAATTAAATGTATCGAAAATTATGAACAAAAAAGGAATTATCTTACGGTACAGTACAATGAATAATAACAATAATGATATTATTAATAATATTTTTTGTTGTGCTTTACTAGGGAGGTTTAAATCCATAAAATCGTTTACCAATCACAATTGTGTCTGTTGATGATACTTCAGGACTTAGACTAATACCACTAATGACCTTTGAATGATTTAATCGTCCCTAAATCGAAAAAAAAAACAAAACATTTGTATTGAAAAAAAGAAACAAAAATAAATCAACACAAGAAAAAAAAAAACTATAAGCTTAAAGCGAAACTGATTTACACTCGAAATTTACGACAATCAATAAAAAAAAGCTAGCTGATTTGTTAACGTACAAAACTATCTTAATTGATTATAACATTTTCAGATATAGATGGTGGTGCATCAACACTCATCATCGTACTTCTTCGTGATTGATTTAATAAACTATTTCGTCTTTGTTGCTGTCGTCTCAAAACATTTGCTATTAACCATAAAATAACACCCGAATGAGATGCTGTCTGATTTGGTGCATTTTCATCTGTACGTTGTAGCTGAAAACGAAATATATATATATTTATATGTATATTTTAATCGAATCTATTCGACTTTTTAGTTTTGCAAAAATAAAACAAAAAAAAAAGACATAATCAAAATAATTAAACTTACTTTAAGTAAGGTTGAAAAATAATCAAATTTAAATAAAAGTATTGGTCCTTCATCAACATAACTATCTTTGGATCCACCTGGTCCATTCAATGAACATGCTGCCAAGCCACATGTCAGCACAACAAAAGAGGCACCATAACAAAGCCAAAGAGTTGTATTGTGATATTCAGGAATATTAAGATATTGTTCACAAACAATCCATAAACTTCTCCATATTTGTACAACACTTACAAATGCAATTAAATGAAATAATGTTGATACAAATGAATATAAATATTGATGACGTTGTCGTAATAAACATCGAACAATTGGAACTTGTATAAGAGCAAGTAAAAAAAAGATTAGATAACCACTAGCAAATGATATTATCATTGAAAGTTCTCGATTATCAGGACAAATATATTTATCAGAGAGATTATATAAACCACGCCATGCTATTGTTAATAATGGTGCTTCAACTAATTCATAATAAAAGAAATCAAAATTATATTGCAAAAAACGATTTGTCTAAAGAAGAACAAAAGAAAAAAATATTATTAGTTACAATCTATGATTCCTTCAATTACTTACGGCGACAGTATATTTAGAATCAAGTAAAAAATAACTATCAGTATCAATACCAATTAAAAATGGTGCTGAATTAAGATTATAAACTGATTTCATTAATAAAAGAAATGTAACACTAATTCCTGTTTCAGCTAATAAATGATACCATTCATTACTTGTTAAATCTAATAAATTCCATAAACCACGCCATTGATTAATATAAGCTAATGCAAGTAATAATGTATATAATCTCGTCATAATTAAGCCCATAATATTATGTCGATTTTTTTCATAAAATTTTTGTAAATAACTTTGTGTTAAATATAATATATAGAGCATAAAATATCCTATACCCATTGATATTAATGCACTTCTACTTGGATAATCAGGTAGTAAATGTATATCAAGTAAATCCCAAGCTCCACGCCAATGAATATTAACAAATGGTGTTATAATAAATGCAGATATAAACATATCTGTAAAATATAATGTCATATATGAACGACAATTTGGTATAATTGAACTATTTGAACTTATTGATGTTGATGATGATGTTGTTGATGATGATGATGATGATATTATTCTTTCATGATCATTATTTATTGGTGATGTATATATAGGTAAGATTGTTTGATGTTGTTCAATAAGTGGTTGAACAAAACTTAGTTCACTATTTGATGTATTTAAATTTAAATCTGAATTAAATTGTGAAGTATCTAATGTTGTTATTGATGTTGAAGGTTGAATAAAAGAAGATAAATCTTCAATATTAATACAATCATTATTATTATTATTCATGTTTACAATTGTATGGGATGTAACGACGTCATTATCTGTTGTTATGATGTTTAAATTCGATGATGAACTAGGAAATTGTTGATGATCATCGGCATCATTTTCATCATCGGATGGCGTCGTTGATGATATCATTGGTGTAGAATCAGCTGAATTCAAACTACAAAGGAAAAAAAAACAAAACAAAACATAAAGATATTTGCTATATAATGTCGATAACATACGTGTTTGTGATCCGTTCCATACAGCCAATAATATGAATACCAATAGGTATATCCTAAGGCAAAGCTGTGTACGGCTGTCAAGTAAAAAAAAGTCATGACTCTTCATTAATAAAATAATAATAATAATAATGAAAAAAAAAACGCCTACCTTCAATGTATTCAGACAACAGTGAGCATTTCATGACGTTGATTTTCAACTAAGATGAATTTTCTAATTAAAAGCATCCAATCTAAATCAATATTTATCAATAATTTTCTATTCATAAAGAAATTCTTTAAAATTTACCAGGTACTAACGGGGGTTCTCTAATGATAGCCACCCTATTGCTTTATAATCAATCGTCCAAAAGATTAAAAAAAAAATTATCAATAAGATGAATCAAAACTTTCTTTCTAATAGACGTTAATATAAAAATCGTTTTTTTTTTGTTTTATATATGCTTTTACTAATGTTTATCTAAAATAATGAAAGAATATTTTGTTGTGTCATACATACTTACATAATTTTTATATGTTATATTAAACATGTGTATGCATAGTTTTAAGCTCACACAGTAGAAAAAGCAAGAAATGCAATGATGACGATTATGATATATAAGAGAGAGAGGCAACTGAAATGCTTTACAAATAAACCAAGCAAGAACAAAGCACACATACATACGCATGCGTGCCTCCATAGCCTTGCCAACTATCTGATGTCAAAAAAACGAGAAGGCGATGAAAGCGAAACATAAAAAAAAAAAAAAAAAAGAAAAAAAATATATACGAGTATGAAATGAAATCATTGTAAATTATCGTAGTAAGCATGACGACAAGAAAATAGAAAAAAAATAAAATAAAAAGTAAACTTTTCTAAAAGACATACAGAATTGGTTATAGAAATGTTTTTTTTTCTGTCTTACCGAAATAAAACAGTGTAAAAAAAAAGAAAAAAAGTTGGCTTACACATTTATTCCGATGCCAATCGATGTGCGCAAAAAAAAAGAAACAAAGAATAGTATACGAGTAATGAAAATGACGACGTCTAGAAAGAAGAACAAGAAAATAACGCACTTCTATTGGACTATTCTCAATGGGTAATACATCTTATGATCTTGTGAGATATTATATACACATATATACATACATAAATGCAAATATATGTATTGGGGCAA